ACAGATAGACCTCTCGCTGTCTTACTCGGCCTATCCCACGAGGGCAAGGCCAAGTACTGGAGCAAGAGCTGCATCCTGGAGGATTTGCGCAAGGCGAGGAACACGCGCGTGGACGAGGTCTTACTTGCCCATTTGCATGCGTGCAACCCGTGCGAGAAGCCACCCGCTCTCCCAGATGGCTTCAACAGGATGGCGGTGAATCCCGACGACTTGCCCTATGTTACCAGCGTGGCTTTGACTTGCAACGAGGGCGCGACCTTCAATATGAAGATGACCGTGGAGCTCTTGCCATTGAGGGTGCCATGTGTTGAGCTGACCGTGGAGAATCTCACTTGGCTCCAGAAGGTGGCGACGGCGTCGGCCTTGCAGCCAACGCCTGTGAAGCCGCCCAAGCGCAAGCGCCCAGAGGATCGCATTGAATTGCCCACGCCAGAGGCGAAGTTCGATTATCGCAGGAAGTCTATATTCCTGCAGTGCAAGGATGCAGACGGGCGCAAGCACTTGCAGTACCAAAAACCAAAAACCATGGAACTCGCCGACATTGAGACAGCGATTGAGACCCTTACGGGCGATATTCTCAAACGTGGTTGGACGGTCTACGACGGCAACGCCGATGACGACGATGGCGGCGGCGATATCCCGCAGTTGGAGTCGCAGGAGTGAGCGTTGTGATGCGCGTGCGCACAGCAGTCTATCCTAGCATAGGCATTGGCGGATGCAGCAATGCAGCGTCGCCGAGGGGGGACGGGTAGGACAAACAGATTTCGTTGCATGTCCAATCGGTGCTGTTGCAAAAGTCTAGACGCTTCGCGCATCACCGTCAGCCCATCCAGAAACAACGCCCAGGCGAGTTGAGGTGATCAGGGAAATGCGGGAGCAAGGAGGGGGGCAGCCAAACCGTGCGAAGGAGGAAGGAGGAGACGGAGGATGCTGGATGGATGGATGAGGGAGTGGGGAGAAGGAAAATGAATAGGAGGAGGAGGAAGAGAAGGAGGATGAGGAGAAGGAGGAGGACGGATGACGGAAGACGGATGAGCAGGAGGAGGAGGAGGGCGAGCAAAATGGCCAAAGGTCTCTTGGATGCCTGTCGGAGCCTCTTGGGATATCTCTTGGGCGCGTCTTGGAGGCCTCTTGGGCGCCTCCTGGCGGTCCTGGGGGTCTCTCGGGCGTCTTGGGTGCCTCGGGGGGGGGGGGGGGGGGGTAGGGGGGGGTGGGGGGGGGGGTCTTGGGTCCTCTTGGGGCCCTCTTGGGAGCATCTTATGAGAGCCTATTGGGGCCATTTTGGGGGCAATCTCTGCGCCTCTGGAAGCCTCTGGGCGCCTCTTGGGGCAATCTTGAAGGAGATCGATCAAAGAAGAGGGGCCCCTTAATTAGCCTTGCCCCTTTAGAGCCCCCAGAATCGCCTCTTGGACCCCTCTTGGGGCGCTCTTGGAGCGCTCTTGGGCGCTCTTGGGGCCGTCTTGGGGCTCTCTTGGGCCCCTCTTGTGTCCCTTTTGGGCCATTTTGGGGCCGTCTTGAAGCCTCGGATGGCCATCGGAAGCGAAAAGGCGAGAAGCAGAACATCATTGGTTTTCCGAAGGTGTTTGAAAGATTTTGGCCTCTTGGGGGGCCTCTTGGAGCTTTGGGGCGGTCTTGGGACCTCTTGGAGCATCTTCGGAGCCATATTGAGGCATCTTCGGCTATCTTGGGCCATCTTGGAGCTCGTCTTCTAGGCTCTCCGAGGCGCTCTTGGAGCCGTCTTTGGCGAACTACCCTCTGACACCTCGCGGGGCGCCCTGTCCAGGTCCATGGGGGAGGGTAAGGGGGGAGGGGTAAACCCCTCCCCGAAGGGGAAGAAGGAGGTTGGAAGAGGAAACTCCCTAAACCACCTACGCCCAGAGGGCTTGTGGGATATGTCAACCCTTTCCAAATTTCGCAGCGATCATCGCTTTCCAGCCCCCGCACGCGTGCGTTCGCTACGTGGCGCGCGCGCCGCATAAAGCGGCGGAAGGCGATGGCAAGAAGGAGTGTCTGGGTGTGGTAGGTGGAAAGACAAGGAGGGGAAATGGTGGCAAGCGATGGCGGTGGGAGCATGGGCGTTGGGAATTGGAATTGGGGGCTGGAGGGGCGAGGAACATGGGTCGGATTTTTCGTCAGCGATCTCTTGCTGGGGCCCCAGCGGTGATTAGCAATATAAGCAGCAAGAGTCGTGTTCCACTCCCCTGCATGACTGCAAGACACGCACCTCATGCGCGTGGCATTCGGATTTCCGCTGTGATGAGGAGCCGCCATCCATATACAATGTACTTAAAACTTATAGTGTACTGTATGCACTATTGGCTCAAACCACCAGCGCGGGCGCTGCAGCTAATATGATAATCGCGGTCAGGCCAGCCCCCGCGAGCATCGCAATCACCCCTCCATCTGCAGTCCTAGCAGAGGCGGCGTTTGCGCCGATGGTATAGCCCTCGAGCGGCGTCACAACAGAGCAGAGTGGCTGTTGCGAGTCAACATCGGCAGTTGCCAGTCACAGCAAAGTCGGCGTTCGCGCGCCAATGATCTAGCCCTTGATCTCGTCAAAGGACCAGTCCTCGGAGTCCATCCAGATCTCGTCATCGGGCCCGTCCGCGGGTTTCACCTCTTGTAAGCCCTGGTCGGATATCATCTCCCGCTGCAAGCGCACGGAGATGATATCTCGAACCAGGCTTACAGGAGGTGAAACCCCGCGGACGGGTACGCAAGTTTCCCCCGCACAACGCTCCGAGGACTGGTCCTTTGACGAGATCAAGGGCTAGATCATTGGCGCGCGAACGCCGACTTTGCTGTGACTGGCAACTGCCGATGTTGACTCGCAACTGCCACTCTGCTCTGTTGTGACGCCGCTCGAGAGCTATACCATCGGCGCAAACGCCGCCTCTGCTAGGACTGCAGATGGAGGGGTGATTGCGATGCTCGCGGGGGCTGGCCTGACCGCGCTTATCATATTAGCTGCAGCGCCCGCGCTGGTGGTTTGAGCCAATAGTGCATACAGTACACTATAAGTTTTAAGTACAGTGTATATGGATGGCGGCTCCTCATCACAGCGGAAATCCGAATGCCACGCGCATGAGGTGCGTGTCTTGCAGTCAGGGGAGTGGAACACGACTCTTGCTGCTTATATTGCTATCACCGCTGGGGCCCCAGCAAGAGATCGCTGACGAAAAATCCGACCCATGTTCCTCGCTCCTCCAGCCCCCAATTCCAATTCCCAACGCCCATGCTCCCACCGCCATCGCTTGCCACCATGTCCCCTCCTTGTCTTTCCACCTACCACACCCAGACACTCCTTCTTGCCATCGCCTTCCGCCGCTTTATGCGGCGCGCGCGCCACGTAGCGAACGCACGCGTGCGGGGGCTGGAAAGCGATGATCGCTGCGAAATTTGGAAAGGGTTGACATATCCCACAAGCCCTCTGGGCGTAGGTGGTTTAGGGAGCTTCCTCTTCCAACCTCCTTCTTCCCCTTCGGGGAGGGGTTTACCCCTCCCCCCTTACCCTCTCCCATGGACCTGGACAGGGCGCCCCGCGAGGTGTCAGAGGGTAGTTCGCCAAAGACGGCTCCAAGAGCGCCTCGGAGAGCCTATAAGATGAGCTCCAAGATGGCCCAAGTTAGCCGAAGATGCCTCAATATGGCTCCGAAGATGCTCCAAGAGGTCCCAAGACCGCCCCAAAGCTCCAAGAGGCCCCCCAAGATGCCAAAATCTTTCAAACACCTTCGGAAAACCAATGATGTTCTGCTTCTCGCCTTTTCGCTTCCGATGGCCATCCGAGGCTTCAAGATGGCCCCAAAATGGCCCAAAAGGGACACATGAGGGGCCCAAGAGAGCCCCAAGACGGCCCCAAGAGCGCCCAAGAGCGCTCCAAGAGCGCCCCAAGAGGGGTCCAAGAGGCGATTCTGGGGGCTCTAAAGGGGCAAGGCTAATTAAGGGGCCCCTCTCCTTTGATCGATCTCCTTCAAGATTGCCCCAAGAGGCGCCCAGAGGCTTCCAGAGGCGCACATAATATAGCCCCAAATGGCCCCAATAGGACTCTCAATAAAGATGCTCTCCAAGAGGCCCCAGTAGGACCCAAGACCCCCCGCGCCCCCCCCCCTCCCCCCCCCCGAGCCCAAGACGCCCGAGAGACCCCCAGGACCGCCAGGAGGCGCCCAAGAGGCCTCCAAGAAGCGCCCAAGAGATATCCCAAGAGGCCCCGACAGGCATCCAAGAGACCTTTGGCCATTTTGCTCGCCCTCCTCCTCCTCCTGCTCATCCGTCTTCCGTCATCCGTCCTCCTCCTTCTCCTCATCCTCCTTCTCTTCCTCCTCCTCCTATTCATTTTCCTTCTCCCCGCTCCCTCATCCATCCATCCAGCATCCTCCGTCTCCTCCTTCCTCCTTCGCACGGTTCGGCTGCCCCCCTCCTTGCTCCCGCATTTCCCTGATCACCTCAACTCGCCTGGGCGTTGTTTCTGGATGGGCGGACGGTGATGCGCGAAGCGTCTAGACTTTTGCAACAGCACCGATTGGACATGCAACGAAATCTGTTTGTCCTACCCGTCCCCCCTCGGCGACACTGCATTGCTGCATCCGCCAATGCCTATGCTAGGATAGACTGCTGTGCGCACGCGCATCACAACGCTCATTCCTGCGACTCCAACTGCGGGATATCGCCGCCGCCATCGTCGTCATCGGCGTTGCCGTCGTGGACCGTCCAACCACGTTTGAGAATATCGCCCGTAAGGGTCTCAATCGCTGTCTCAATGTCGGCGAGTTCCATGGTTTTTGGTTTTTGGTACTGCAAGTGCTTTTGCGCCGTCTGCATCCTTGCCTGCGGAATATAGACTTCCTGCATAATCGAAACTTCGCCTCAGGGGGGGGGGAGAGGTGGGGGGGGGGGGGGGGGGGGGGGGGAGGGGGGGGGGTGGGGGGGGGAGGGGAGGGGGGGGGGGGTGGCGTGGGCAATTCAATGCGATCCTCTGGGCGCTTGCGCTTGGGCGGCTTCACAGGCGTTGGCTGCAAGGCCGACGCCGTCGCCACCTTCTGGAGCCAAGTGAGATTCTCCACGGTCAGCTCAACACATGGCACCCTCAATGGCATGAGCTCCACGGTCATCTTCATATTGAAGGTCGCGCCCTCGTTGCAAGTCAAAACACGCTGGTAACATAGGGCAAGTCGTCGGGATTCACCGCCATCCTGTTGAAGCCATCTGGGAGAGCGGGTGGCTTCTCGCACGGGTTGCACGCATGCAAGTGGGCAAGTAAGACCTCGTCCACGCGCGTGTTCCTCGCCTTGCGCAAATCCTCCAGGATGCAGCTCTTGCTCCAGTACTTGGCCTTGCCCTCGTGGGATAGGCCGAGTAAGACAGCGAGAGGTCTATCTGTCTGCCTGAGCTCGACGTACGTAGGTCCATCGATCGTCTTGGTGTACTGGGGCACCCACGTGCGGACGTGCTTCATGTCCGCGGCATGATATTGGACCACGGGCTTCGCCTCGATCGTGAACGACATCGGCGCGCGTGAAAACAGCCGCGCGAACCCCCCGCGGCGGCCGAGCGCAACCTCGCTTGATCACTGTCGGCTTGTCACTGCAATCGAGCCCGCGCCCAGCCGCAGCGACGAGGCTTGGACCAGCGCTGCCGCTGCCCCCTCCCCCATCCCCCTCTCCCCGCGCGAGCGCATGCGAGCTGTTTTTGTTTCTCCTGCAAGCGCTGAAAGAGAAGAATACGCCATGTGTCCAGAGGGCGCCGTGTGTCCTGCAAGCGCTAAAGGAAATCCGCAATAATAATACCATTGTCTCCTTAATCGGCGTGCCGCCCCACCGACCTGAGATCGCGGCACAAGTGTCTAATAAGCTCGGCTCCGCGAGCCACGACTACTGCGCGCGGACCCTCTTCATCGGCGGCGCCTTCGCCGCCTGCGGCTTCAGTGCACGAAGCTGGTCACCCTTTTTGATGGGCTTGGTGTTTCCAGGAACGGTATTTTCAATGTAAACTTCTCCGCGCCGACCGAGGCGTCAACGGTGTGAAGCTTGATGGCCATGTTAGACTTCTTGGGGTCGGTCACCTCTTTGTAAATGAGCCAGTAGTGCGGCATGAACCCTTCTATCTTCGCCATCTTGTAGCTGCCGCGCGTGTTGTCCGCGATGCCGCCTGGATCATGCTACTGCAGCTTCATGAAGATGTAAAGCTTCTGCGCGACGCCGTCCGCATTAGTGATCTCCGCGCCGACGTCGATGGCACCGTTTGGAGCTGTATCCGAGAAGGCATCTTTGGTCGAGAAGGGCGGGAAGATCGCGCTGGAGACATCGATGTCAACCTTGGCGTACACGCCGCGGTGCTCCGTGGGCTCCGTCACGATGTCGACCATCTCGCCCGCTGCCCCCTGTAGGTTACCCAATGCATCAAGCGCCGACGTCACGTGACCAACCAACACCATGCGCTGCCAGTCCGAGTTCGAGCGCGGGTCGCACCTGGCACTCCAATCGTTGATGTATTCCTGTTGGGATGGTGGGATGGGTTGCGGGGGTGGTGGGTTTGGGCGGGGCTGGGATGGGCGGTGGGGTTGGGGTAAAGGTGCGGGATGGAGAACAAAAGGAAAAGAGCACGTGGGCTGCGGGTGTGTAAGACAACCAAGCTCCATTGCCAAAATCGTTGCCCCCTCCCCCACCCCCTCCCCCTATAGTATACACGCCGTGGAAGGGGGAGAGCGCGGCGTCCTTCTTCTGCTCGCGTTTTGTGATCACCTTGAACTCTTGTGCACGCGGGGTGAGTAGCGATTTCAGGAGGTATGCCGAATCGACTGTGTAGTCGCTCCCATCGCCGATGCTCTGCAGCTTGATCTCATCCTCCTTGACTTCCTGCACCTTGTATACAGTTTTCATCTTGATGACCTCGATGTGGCAATTGGCGCTCACGCCCATACTTGCCAATTTGTGCATCCTGTCGGCGATTCCGCCTACGCTCTGCACTTGTGCAGAAGCCGCAGCTTGCTGCGCGGGAGCTTTGGGCGGGGCTCCTTTCTTCGCCCACGGGGGTGTGATCTGCGTGCCTGCAATGGTAGCCAGGTCTTGCACGTACTCGTAGCCGATGTGGTGAAGCGACTCGAACTTTTGGCTCCTGGGGTCGGGCTTCTTCATGCAATGGTGCACGAGCCTCATGCCGAACCTGTTGATCAACGTCTTCACGGCCGCGTTGTCTTCTGACAGGTTGACAGTTTTTGCGACGTCTATAGCCATCGATTTCATGATGTCTGCCTGCGAGATCATGCGCTGCACTTCCTTGTTACTCGTGAGCTTAAGCCCGAAGTCACCCGATGCAAAGAGGTTCTGAAAGTCGCCCGATGCATACTTGCTGTCGGCGCTCATCATTGCCTTTACGCAATCAATGCGGAAGGGAATGCAGCCCAAACCATCCGAGCCGATCACTGCATCAGCCACCGCCGCCAAGACGGGGCCCTGCACAATGCGCGGCTTCTGGCACGAACGGTTGAAAGCCCGAAGCTCCTTCAAATTCGGTGAGTCTGGTCCACCAGCGAGCTTCCTCGCAAACGTCGCCAAACTCTGGATCTCTGAAACGAAATCTGGATTTCTGGATTGCGCTTTTGTTATTGCCCTACCCCGCGCGACGTCGGGGTCCAAGATGTCGCCCTCCTTTTTATTGGCTTCGAAGTTGGCGACGATCTTCTGCACGTCCCCGTGCATCTTGAACAAGGTCTCCCACCTAGTCTCATTCATGGGAACCTTCTGCGCAGCATTTCCAGACTCCTGATTGAACGCGGCTAAAGCCAACATAAATGCGGGGGGGGGGCGGGGGCGGGGGCAATCGAAAAGTTAAAGGGTGGGCCATCGATTTCACAAACTTAAGCGGGTCCTGGAGCAAGTCTATAATGGCGCCGAATGCGTCTTCAGCCTGCCAGACAAGCACGCCCCATTCAAACCCCTCCTTCGCAGCATCTGCCAACGTGGGGCGCTTCAACCCGATCTTGTGGATGTCAAGCTTCCCGTCGGTACCGAACTCGACGTTATCTGAAACTGTAGGGCTGCCAAACTGAATGCAGCGGGTCGCCTGGGTCGTGTGCGACTTGCTCACGCTAAGGATTTTGATCTCGCCCTCGTCGTATGGCGGCAAGAAGCCGTGGGAGTCCTTGACAAGGTCTCCGTTGAACTCGAGTGCCTCGGCGTGGCGCTCGTGAGATGGGGGTGGCATCTCGATGGCAAAGGGCACGCCCACCTCATCCATGCTGAACCCGTCGCTGCAAAAACTGCGCACCAGCGTGCGCACGCGGGATGGAATTATGCCATCGCCGTACCTGTTCCGCGGGTGCACGGCCACGTAGCGCCCATTCGTTTTCTGGCGCCTCAGCAGACCCTCCTTCCGCAACAATCGCACCGCCTGGTCGCGCAACTGGAGAATCGGGGGGCAATGGCTGCACGTATACTCCTTGATGATGTCGAAGATCTGCTCCTGGACGCGCTCCACGCGAGCCTGCATGGTCTCACCCGCCATGGCGTGGCCCAAGCCCAATGCGAGAAACGCAAGGCGGGGGCTGCGCTGAACGCAACTGAAGGGTGGCTGACACCTTTGTCTGGGCCAGCGGCAGCACAAATGCATGAAACAACTATTGATTTCGCAGCATGCCTCCCACGGCGCCCGCGCAATATTACAGATCGGGCACCAAGGTTCTCTTAGGGTTTAGGGTTAACGACATTGGCGTCACAAGTGTTTTGGGCGTCCTGTTCAGCGCGCGCGCTGTTATATATATTGATTGAAAATGCATGCCCATACATGGCGTTAGTTTGCGTAACTGCAGTTATGTGGCACTTACGCGCCACTTATGTGGCACTTACGCGCCACTTATGTGGCACTTACGCCACTTACATAAGTAGCTCGTAAGTAACTTACGCTACTTATATAAGTAGGCCGTAAGTACTTATAAGTAGGCCAAAGTACTTATAAGTACTTACGCTATTTATAAGTAGGTTGCCCTACTTATAAGTAGCTCCTAAGTAACTTAGCTACATATGAGCTACTTACACTACTTATGAGCTACTTACGAGCTACTTACACTACTTATCAGCTACTTACGAGCGACTTAGGAGCTACTTATAATTGGCGTAACTGCATAAGTACTTATAAGTACCCCCGCCGCGCGCAGTTCTGGGAAGTGGAAGAGCACGAAGTGGCCTACAGTTGGCTCCGGGCATTCAAAATGTGGCCCGGGAATGGAGTTCTGGGAGGTCGAAGAGCACGAAGTGTGTGACTGTTTGTTTAAAACGAGCCCGGTTCTCGCCTGAAAAACGAGGTTCCCCGGCAATCCCCAACGGCCCCCCAACGGCCCCCCAACGGCTCCCCAACGGCTGCCCAGACCCCCCTGTGGAGTAATGTGCTGCTCTCTTTTTACACCATTAGAAACCTATCAGTCTTCGCTGTTAGGTAATTATCCCGGCAAAGCAACCTAACAGCGATGTGTAGAAGCATATCTGAAAGCATTCCCCTTAAGATTCAGATGAAAATCCAGTTGTCGAATTCTGCTGTTTTCGCAGTCGTAGTCGCATTCGCGATGACAGTCGCAGCGGCAACGGCAGTCGCAGTCACAGCCTCAGCCTCAGCCTGCCTCCTCCTCATCCTCCTCTTTCTCCTGCTCCTCCTCCTCCTCCTCCTCCTCCTCCTCCTCCTCTTCCTCCTGCTCGTCCTCGTTCTCGTCCTCCTCGTCTTGCTCGTCCTCCTCCTCCTGGTGCTCTCTCCTCCTCCTCCTCCTCCTCCTCCTACTCCTCCTGGTGGTCCTCGTTCTCCTCCTCCTGGTGCTCTCCCCCCCCCTCCTCCTCCTCGTCCTCCTCCTCCTCCTCCTCCTCGTCCTCCTCCTCCTCTTCCTCCTCCTCCTCCTCCTCCTCCTCCTCCTCCTCCTCCTGGTAGTCCTCCCCCTCCCCTCCTCCTCCTCCTCCTCCTCCTCCTCCTCTTCCTGGTCGTCCTCGTTCTCGTCCTCCTCGTCTTGCTCGTCCTTCTCCTCCTGGTGTTCTCTCCTCCTCCTCCTCCTCCTCCTCCTCCTCCTCCTGGTGGTCCTCGTTCTCCTCCTCCTGGTACTCTCCCCCCCCCCTCCTCCTCCTCCTCCTCGTCCTCGTCCTCCTCCTCCTCCTCCTCCTCTTCCTCCTCCTCCTCCTCCTCCTCCTCCTCCTCCTCCTCCTCCTGGTACTCCTCCCCCTCCCCTCCTCCTCCTCCTCCTCCTCCTCCTCTTCCTGGTCGTCCTCCTCCTCCTGGTCGTCCTCCTCCTCCTGCTCGTCCTCCTCCTCCTCCTGCTCGTTCTTCTTCTCCTGCTCCTCCTGCTCCTCGTCCTGCTCCTGCTCGTCCTCGTCCTCCTGGTCTTGCTCGTCCTCCTCCTCGTCGTGCTCTTGCCCCTGCTGAAAATGTGGCCCAGGAATCGGAGTTCTGGGAAGTCGAAAAGCACGAAGTTGCCTACAGTTCGCTACGGGCATTCAAAATGTGGCCCGGGAATGGAGTTCTGGGAACTCGAAG